GTGAAAAGGAAAAGAATTCTGAAAAGACTTTTATTGAAATTGGTTATTAACAACGTACAAGAGAGGTTCTTATTGGAGCTTTGAGTCACAATAAGTGTTGCTGAATATCTTTCTTGCCAGAAAGCCACTGGTAATTGCACAGCAGAAAAAGTGATTCTCACTGCACACAGAAAAAAATCTATCCTCAATCAATGGAAAGAGAAATTGTGACTCGAATCTCCAGGATATAGTTCGAATTGGTGGCTGAAGAGTTTCACTGGAAAAGTTGTTTGATGATGACAAGACGCTGGCTAAAGACACGATACCACCGAAAAGAGGCACGGTTCGGTTATCCAGAACAGTTATTGTTGAGAGGATGACTAGATTGTGGGTGGAATGCTGGTCAGAAAAGGAGTTGTGTCACCAGAATATTATCGAAAATAGGCATGGTGTTGTTGGAATAATTGCTAGAAAGTGGTACAGTGCTACAGGAAGGATTATCGGAAAAAGGTATAGTGCTGCAAGAAGGATTATCAGAAAGAGAAGTAGTACCACTAGAGCCGTCATCACTAAAAGATAATAATAGTATAACTATGACAAGAAAATAAAACCTTATGGCATAATTCTGGTCATTAGTAGGAAGGCAATCCGCAATATGAGTTTTGAGATGGAGGTGTAGTTGTTGTAGGCAGACACTAGTTAAGTCTCTACCAAAATTGTAAAGACTCTAATACCATGCGAAAAAAGAAAAGAAGAGAGCAAAAAACTCTTTTTGAAGTTGGTTATTAACAACATATTGGAAGTTCCTATCTTAGGAGTTTTGAGCTCCACAATATGAGGAAAATTCTCTAATTCTTGGGATTATTAATTATTATGAGATACTCATTAGAAATATTCTAAAAAGAATCATTATACTTAAACAATATTGTTAATGATTTTCTAGACTTTCCACCATAACATAAACATTAAACATGTTCTATACACTGTTCTTAATGATTCTTTTAAGTTTCAACTAGTCTAATCCTGATTTAATAGTAGCAAAGAGCATGAATGTACTTGTAAAGACATCTTTGAAAGTAGTGAAAAAGTCTAAAATGGAGAAAATGGTATTGCTCTTTGTTAGCATTTACTTGCTTGATTTTCGGTATGTTAGAATGGGCTGTTCTATCTTGTTTCGTAACTTAAGAATCGTAGGGTGTCTGCTTGACATTGCCTTTTCTTAGAGCAGAAGTCGCACAACAATATGACCTGCTATTTTCATACCTATTTTCACATTAAGCTTATTAAGGCAGAGTGTTTACTGTTCATATAATAGGCGACTACTATTACTTTCATTTTAATCTTTATCTTTTTAGTTTTACTTTAGTTATTTCAGATAAAATGAAATTATAAGAATCAGTTGCTGTTCTTCTGGTTTCCTCTAGCTGTTTTATGAGCTGTATTCCTTCACCTAATCAAGAATACAAATATGGTGCACTCAGGTGAAACCTTTGGTGATGTCGTTGGAAGTCCTTACTATGTGGCGCCAGAAGTGTTGCGGAAGCATTATGGTCAAGAGTGTGATATTTGGAGTGCAGGAGTCATTATTTATATACTACTTAGTGGTGTTCCTCCATTTTGGGATGGTAAGTTTATTTTGACTTTTTTCCTTTGCAATTTGATTTTATAATCCTTGAAGCAACATGAAGACCATGTGGCTTATGAATTTTGATGTTTTGCACCAGAGACGGAGCAAGGAATATTTGAACAGGTTTTAAAAGGGGAACTCGACTTTGTATCAGAACCTTGGCCTACTATATCAGAAAGTGCAAAAGATCTAGTCAGAAAAATGCTTGTGAGAGATCCCAAAAAGCGGTTGACAGCCCATGAAGTTCTTTGTAAGATGCAGTATTCACCAGTCTGATCCTTTATGCTCTTCTTGGTGTTATGTATGTTTTCAGTATATAATGATGCTTCTCATCCTTTCTTCTTTGCATCATATGGCCTTGTGCTCTGGATCAATTGCTTGTAGATTATCAACTGTCTTGATATGCTTCTAAAGTCATTCTTATTATACAACTTACTTAAAATTCTTCTGTACTTTTGTTGGAAAAATATTCTTATTTCTGTTGTTGAAAAGTCTAGGTTTTACTATGATTTCTAATGTTATTTAAAGAAGGATGGAAGATCACTTAGTTTTGATGAGAGTAACTGGAAATGCCAAAAAGTTTAGTTCATGGAACTGGTAGCACTCAGCGCCGACAATAGCTTTTCCTGATCGCTGCATCTGCTCTATTAAGGAACCAGATATATTTAAGTTCCTGCATTTTCTTTCTGGATATACATCGCTCATGTGCATCCTAGCTATATGTACAATAGAGGACATGTGAACATCAAAATTTTCTTCTACCTCTTGAAATCAGATAACATTAAGAAAAAAAATTGAATTAAATCAGTGGTATATGCAGCTTAGTGTTTATAGGAGTTTGGCCAAGTTGTTGGCTGGTTGAGACTTCAGACACACGTAATCGGAGGACCTATCTTCCTAAGAGTTATAGCTTCTTGCTAGGATTTCTTGCTTTGCCTTTTGGCCTCTCTATAATGTTAAAAAGATTTCAGTATGAAGATGATTTCAGATACTTCTATATGTGCTTCTTTGAGCGACAGATTAACAGAGACGAATACATAGGGGAGAGGTGATGAAAGAAGGAGTTGTAAATTGGTAGAAATCTGACACTTATTCTTAAAGGATTGGTTAGAACGACATCATCATGTTTGCCTGTTTATTTGCTTAACAAGCACATTAAAATGCTCTTTTGCATGAATGACACATATATATGTATTATCTATGTCAGGTCATCCATGGGTGCGTGTTGGTGGGGTTGCTCCAGATAAGCCTCTTGATTGTGCTGTTCTAAGTCGTCTCAATCAGTTTTCTGCAATGAACAAATTAAAGAAGATAGCAGTCAGAGTAAGTTATTCTAATTGTTCAGACCTATCGTTGCTGAGTTTACCTGAGTAATGGCATTCATTGCATTTCTGCAGAAAGACAAGGGTGCCAATCCTTTCAAGAAAGAAAATGCCATGGCTATCTAGTTACTAATCTTTCCATTTCTTTCCTAATTGGCCTGTATTTGGTTATATTTCCAAGTATATATGTGCCACACTTATACACATTTCTCGCTAATTTTTAAATCAGGAACAGGAAAAGGACATTGAAACATATTACTGCATCAAAGTGTTTTTTAGTTGTTATGCTTGAGCAATCTCTGTTTGCTTTTTAGGTAATTGCTGAAAGTCTGTCTGAAGAGGAAATCGCAGGACTAAAGGAAATGTTCAAAATGATAGACACAGATAACAGTGGAAATATTACGCTAGAAGAACTGAAAAAGGGTTTGGAAAGAGTGGGTGCCAATCTGAAGGATTCAGAAATAGTTAGCTTAATGCAAGCGGTAAGTGATACTTCTTATTATGTTCCAGAGCAGTCTTATGTACATCATGACAGCTTTAAATAGCATTGCAAATCATGTTGGCATATCAGATCTTCTTAAAAATAAACTGTCAAAAAGATCCTTACTAAACAACCTTTCTGTGTTTGGAAGTTCAGGCGGATATTGATAATAGTGGTACCATTGACTATGGAGAGTTTCTAGCTGCTATGCTCCATTTAAACAAAATTCAGAAGGAAGATCACATGTATGCTGCTTTTTCATATTTTGATGAAGATGGTAGTGGATATATCACACAGGATGAGCTCCAAAAGGCTTGTGATAAGTTTGGTTTGAGCGATATCCCCATTGAAGAGCTTATGCGTGAAGTTGACCAAGATAATGTAAACCCTATTATTCTCATCTTCAGTGTTCTATTTCTAATATCTTGCAGATATATAATGTGCATGGTCAGACATAAAAGCATATATAAGATCATAACATTCATGTACCTATTTTTCTTTTTCAGGATGGACGCATCGATTACAGTGAATTTGTGGCGATGATGCAAGACACTGGCTTTGGTGAGAAGAGAAGCAAAAGAGTGTAAGCATTGGTATACCATAAGCCTTAAAGCCTGGTAAACTTGATGTCACTGATTACACATAAACTGGTTGTGTATATCATCCACGTAGGTATGTGAAACAAGAAACTTCAATTGCATTATGCTGTAAAGATTAGTCAGGCATTGGTATTACATCCACAGGAGTGTGTGAAACAAAAACATGGATTGCGTTATGCTGTAAAGATTAGTCATTCATCAGAGATGAAAGGGAACTTTGTTTAGCATTCGATTCTGTATTTTTATTTGTTTGTTTCTTTCTGTTGACGGAACCAATGTTCACAAATATCACTCCTTTGACTTATGCTTGCTCAACCAGTTGACTGCCTTCTTACTGTAGATTCAGCAGAAACAGTCCAGACAGAACTTTATACTGTGTGTTCCATTGAACCTCTAGCCTGGCTACTTTGGTTCAATATGCATCTTCAACAGAAGCTGTGGTACTGCTACTTGCTCACAAGGATTTTCTTTCCTCTACATGCAGCCATTTATAGGTCCTTTTACCCACTTAGATGATTTTGGGGCAATAGCTTTCTTTCTTTTAGTAATATGAATTATTCATTTGTGGAGTCTAACTTTTTGTTTCTAGTTAAAATTGGTCTGATGATGAGTAGTAGTTTTTTTTTTAGGATTCTGATTAGTTGGATTAGGTTCTGAAGTGTACATATCTAAGTCAGAAATAACATACAATGTTGTAATTTCAATTTTCCTACTAGGTAGCTAAAAAACACATATAATGCGCATTCGATACCATTTCTTGTGAGTACCTCATTTTAGGGATCCGCTTGAGATTTTTATACTTGATTGCTATGGTAATGCTGACATGGTGATTTAATGTTCCTTTTGGAAGATAAACTTTCTGATAATGGACCAGAATAGATGCCAAGTGGACTGAAGGGTGTATTCTTGTTGCTACTTTGTACCTCAGTAGTGGACTGGTGTAGCAATATTTCATAAATGATGGTCATAGAAGAATAGCGTTTGCAGCAATGTGATATACAACATATACTGGGAATTTTCTTTGTTCCATAACTATGGATCTGAATGTTACCAGAATGTTATAGCAAATGATCCACAGTAGACATTGAATAGATTTACAAATCAAAACAGCTCTCAATATCTTGTGACCTGAATTGGACCTCATTTCCAGTTCATTTACATAAGAAGATAAGAGGTAATAACCTATTAAAGTAAAAAATTTGGCACTAACCAATGCACTGCCCAACAAAATAAACCTGTGCCTTATATGAAGATGTTTCTGGCAGAAGCCAATCATTTGACTGCCAAAGTATTGTCATATGCTTTTATTCTTTTTTTTTTTTAATTTGTTGAGAAGTTTGTCATATGCTTGTTTTTAACTTAACGAGTAGATATCATGCTAGTGTCCTTAACCAACCGAGTAGTCTAAGAAGACCACTGTCCAGCACCTCTGATTTTTTCTCAAATCCTGTGACAGCAAAACGAGGATATCAAAATCAGACTATGGAAATATGGATATAAACTAAATATAAGATACATAAATTCCATATCGATGAGCATATTATATTAGATTATAGGATATCAAACAAAACTTTTCATCAATAACCAAAGTAATAAGACCACTTATTGCTGATTGGCACATATTAAGTCGATACCTCCCTAGCGGGAACCTTTTGAAGGCCACAGAGTAAAATATAGTAGAGCTAGTGATATGTGTAATAAAGATATCACGACAAATGCAATCGGGACTTTCAAGTTCTGAAAATTGAATATCTTGTCAAACCATGTTTACCTAAGTCGGCAGCAACTCGGTGAGCACACATTACTCCTGAAAAGGCTACAGCTATAACACCTTGTCCAGGAAAGCAACTATCGCCCACACAATATAGACCATCTATAGCCTGTAAGCTCAGAAACCATACAGAACAGTTTATTCTGTGCGCTTCTATTTACCAGTAGAACAGTAAAGCAACTAGATACTGAAGTTATGATTCACTTACAGTGGTATTGAAAGGCATTCCTAGTAATCCCTTTGGAGTTCCGCGTGGCATTGGTCCATAGGTACCACTATCACGAGCAAGGTATCGTCTATGTGTCTTTGGTGTTCCCACCTACAAGAGTCCAATCATAAATATAAATGGATGAAGCCCCAAGGCACGAAGCCACAAACTATTTTAGCATGTAGATTTGGTACTGAAGAAAGCTCATTATCGTTCACTATGACCAACTATTCAGTTCATAAAATCATGACTTATACCTCCTTAAAGACAATAGATGACTTGAGCCCTGGGAAGAGTGTCTTTTCAAGTCTGCCTATAATTCTTTCAGCAACAAGCTCTTTCTTTGCTTCATAGTCTTTCAGAGAGAGTCCCTAGTAAGGAAAAACATCCGTACTTTAGTTTCCAGTAAAAAAAAAAGGATGACATAGATACACTAGAGGTTACCTTAGACACTTAAGGCATATACTATTTTTACCTCCCAATCTTCTATGTTCGCCGTTGTAAAAATGTGAAGAATATGATGTCCTTCTGGGGCCAATGATGAATCAAGAACAGTAGGAATGCTCAAGAATATACTTCCATACGGTTTCTCCAAATTTGTCCAATTATCCTGTAAAATCAAGAGATTATGAATGTGAGCCTTAAACAGGAAAAGATAGATAACAAGCCCGTTGAAGTGCCAATAGTACCTCAAGGGTAAAATGGTGACAATCAGTGTCTGGAGGGAGAACATCTGCTTTAACCCCCATGTGAATAGAAAGAAATGAAGGTGCTTTTACATAAGCTTTCTGGAAAGCTTCTTCTTCTTTTGGCAGATTCTCAGCTTTTAAAAGCTTTCCTACAATGTAAGACACTTGACATGAGAAGATAAGATATGAAGAGAATCAAATGTGTACAAGAAAACCACAGTACTAGCTCTAAGACAAAAGAATCTTAAGAAAACATATAAATTATGCTGGCTTCTAGGAAAACTAACCAAAAGTATCCCATCTGGTGGCATTCGATACTATGGTTTTAGCATAAAACTTCCTTCCATCGGAAAGTTTCACTCCCACCTAAAAGAAAAAGAAGCGTTTGAGAAAATGGCCTAGCATGCACATTGGCGAACACAGCATTCAAAAATGCAAAACAAGATACGATTAGGACATTGAAAAATACAATTTTCATTATTTGTTACGTATAATTTAGTCATGTATGTATAAATATGTAGACACTTTCTGTATTTTCAGGGGCGTAACTGACATCCAACTAAAGGGGATGTAGGACCTACCCAGATGTTTGGTCTTCCCTCTTCTTTCTTTGTCCTCACATTTTTCCTCTTTTACTATATACTACTACCCAATTTTAAAAATATTTTAACATCCTAACATGCTAATATTACCTTAAATCTTAAAACGGCTCGTCTAGATGCAGTTAGGCATACCAAAGACCTATATAGGACAAGTGTTTTTGATGGTCAAACAGTGGAAAGACGATTTGACGATAGTTAAAAGTGTGCGTGACATGTGTCACTGTATGTCTAAGAGAGTGTCGGCAAAGACATGTCCAATATGAACACCAGAACAACAGTTTTGCATATCACAATAGGAATAATCACTCTTAACAATAATTTCACAATGGTTCTAGGACCAAGACTCACAGCTTTGCCGTTGTCCAAAATGATACTTGTGACATTTGCCCGATAAAGTATCTGACTTCCCTGATTAACCAAGCCTTTTGCTAAGGATTTGGCAATCTCGCCAACTCCACCCACGGGATAGTTGATTCCTCCAAAATGTCTGTCACATAGAACCTGCAGAAAGCAACTCATGAGAAAATGGACATCAATAAACACAAGAAGGCCTAAGGTTAAATGCAGAATTACCATGCTTGCATTGATCATTGGTGTTTGTAATGCATTAACTGTGCTCACAATAAAACACTGCAAAAGAGAAAATATAGTTGAATTCTTCAAAAGGTAAAGAAATCATCAAAAACTTTTAGTAAGTTGTACAGATTATTTGCCTCACCTCTGCATCTATGAAGGACAGCAACACGGGATCTTTTATATACTTCCGAGCAATGTCACCAGCATTCTGGGGCAAATAGTAGGCTGTGATGAATAACATTGGCATAAATTAAGATTCAATAGAAGGATATTCAATCATTCTGTGCTGCACAAATGTCAGCATGAAAAAATACCCTATAATTGGATAGTTATTCTTAAATTAGTCCGCAAGATGGATATTGGCAAATGCCCAGAATGACAGGAAGAACCTATCATAAGTCAAACGCTTTTGGGTATTAACACATCTATGAAGGAATTTTCCATGATTTATGAGCCATCAGTCGGACTGCAAAATTAACTAAATGCACTACAAAATATCCAAAGCATGTAAATCAGAACTGTTAAACACAAGAAGGGTGATTTGATAGCATAAGATCTCATTATCTTTATGCAAAAGGATACCAAGTTAATTGACGTTATACAGTGGAACGAGGTCTGTGTTTGATCAGTGAAAATGACAAAAGCCACCTAAGATAGGAAATGTTACAATCTTTGGTCATGAATTTCTTGATTATTGAGAAACAGGTCAGAGTAAAAAATCAGAGTAATCTGTATTCAGAACTGTATTAATTTTTGGCAACTACTGAGTTCTACAAGCTTTTTCAACACTATCAGTTGAACATCTGTTTAATTATGCAACTACAGTTATCGTGTGAGTTATAGCATTTCTCTGGACTTTTCCTGCTATTAATGTAAATTTGTATACCAATAAAAGGACATGAAACAAAGTCAATTTGAAACAATTCTCTGCATCCATTTCTAGCATTGCGGGAGCTTAGTGCACTAGACTGCCTCTTTTACCCATTTCTAGCATTAGGACTGAAGGCACAGCTAAAGAAATACAACATTTGAAGTTAAAAGGAAAAGAGAAAAGAAATTACCGAGAGTCAAGCATTCGAGGGGCTTCTTAAAAAACTGGCCAAAAAGGTAGATGGGTTCCTCCAAAGACTTCAGTTCCAAAGAATTCAGAGAATTAAAGATCTGTGCATCCATATTCAACAAATGATTTTGAGTCTAAATCAGGAAGTCCAAAATTTAAAGCAAGCTGCAGTCACCTTAATTTTAATGACCACAAACCTTCCAGCATTCACTGTAGAATTTGATAATCCCTTCTTTTTCATGTGGAAATTTACTCACAAGCTCTTGAATGAAGTCATCATATTCTCGGTGTACACGGACAGAAAGGTCATTGGGTAGATGGAAATGCACAGTTGTTGGGTCAGGTATAACTTCTAATTTACATCCTACTGCTGCCAATGCTTGAGTTATCAAATTGAGGTTTCCCTGTCAAAAGATGTGAAACATCCAATCACATGTAAGCACTGCAGACCACATACAACAGAACAAAGCATACACCACTGCCAGTACAAATTATGTTAATGACAGAATTATGTAGTTATTGGGATGACATTCTTCAATTGAAACAGAGTCTCTTCCAGTATTTTCAGACTAAGAAGCTTGGAAAAGATTGAGATACTTCCGAGGCATCAACACGGCCCAATCTAGAGCATAAAACATGCATCAGATATACTCGAGGAAGGAATGGAAATATTCGACCCACTGGCACTTATTAAATCTAAATTTAGAGCTCCAGCTGGGGTAGAAAAGCCCCTCATTGATCCAGGTTAATGTAGATAGATGGTCGGCAATGTGGAATTACCTCACTACAACCCAACTTAACAATGCTTTGTTGTGAACATAGTACGTTGGTTTACGAATTCCCATGTGATATTCAATAGGATGCTATGATTTTCATTCTTGTACACATCTTCCAGGAAATGAACTACTCTACAGTATGGTCATACAAAACATGAACACATTGTTAGCTATACTAGTGCAGTTCTTGGAACTGAAGTTTGATGAGAGAGATCAGAATAAGAACATTATATGCACGACACATACATCAAATACTGGAAGGACTAACTGCATAGGAGAAAAGATGGTTCTTGGGGACATCACCAGCTTTGTTAAATTAACCAACCAACTGCAGACAATTACTTGAAATATCTTGTCAGTCTGTTAATTAGTTACTACATATACACTAAGCTTGGGACATTTGACATGTATTCACCAACTTGACCCAAAATGTTACAGAGTATATGCACATGTGTAAATAGGTTTTCTACAATGCTATTCTTCAGAATTTGTTACTCTATAGCACGGCATATGTAAAAGCACAGAGGCATAAGACACTGTATCTGCGAATTGTCAAAATCTATTCTCTTGTTTTCGCAATGTCATCACAAAAGAAGGCTGGGGGCAGGAAACCATATGTGAAGAAGACCTTGTATCATAGTTTAACAGTTGTTATCAAACAAATTCTAGGAAGACCTAAATTTGGGAAATATGCAAGGAAACATATAACTGATCCGTCCTTAAGCATCAGATATATCTCTGATATTTCTCCTAGACTAGTGCGCTAGTTAAATGGATTTACAACTCAAAAAGTTTACAATATTTTCTTATACACCAGCAGAGAGTATTTCAGGTGTAGTTCCATATCATCCAAAAGAAAAATAGTTAGAAGAGTACTTGTGTATATAGCTAAGGCACTCAAGAAAAACTTATTTCAAGAATGAAACAACAGAAGACAACATGAGAGGGAAATATAGTATTATTCGGTATGAAGGGCTATAATAAACTAATAATGACAGAAATTCTGCACCATCAGCGGTAAAAGACACATGTCTTGCATTCATTAGTTTAGTGCAAACACCAGGTGCGGGTACGTCTGAGATGCAAACAAGTACAACTGTCTTGAGCCAAACTAAAGTATCTTTTATTATTATAAACGATTTATCTATTTCAAAGCACTGACCGCATATCAAAGGTTATCATTGCTTCAAAATCTTGGTCCTAATCAATACTACTTCTTGGACATCTAAATAACAGAAAGAAAGTATACAGACAAACTGACCTTATCACTGAATCCAAACATGACTGATGAACCAACATCAAAAGTATAACCACCCCTCTGGTAAAACCCAGAGCTTCCACCAGGAATAACATACTTCTCCAAAACCAAAACCTTAGCTCCCTTAACTGCTAGCTGTGTTGCTGCCACTAATCCACCTATTCCTGACCCTATAACAATGGCATCATAGTTGCCACTCTCATTTACTTCTACATCACCAACTCCGTAGCTCTCCACTACTTTATCTACAACTGCTTTCAACTGTGAAACAATACCCCCTTTTCTTCCCTTAGTCTTATTTAGCCCCAAACTCAAGCCATGAAGCTGCTGGACACCAGTAAAATTCCCAATTCTCAAAGGGTCAAAATAAGAACTTATCTTTTTATTGTTTCTGAGTTTGCTATCACCCAAAGCTACAATCTTGTAGTTACCATCAAGAAGTGAATTGGGAAACATAAAATTCAAGGTACCCATTTTTGTATTTTTCAATATTTGGGCTTTAACCAACCAAGTCTTGAACTTTTTGCCTTCAATTCTGTAATTGCATAAGCACTGAGAATTACAAAATCTTGAATCCTTTTATCTTTAAAAATGTTCAAAATCCAAGATTACAGACAACAACAACTATAAAAATTGAATCTTGACAATTCTTGGACCTCAGGGTAGGCAACAGGTTAGGTGAATAAAGTGTATTAGCAAAGGATTTTGATGAGGTGGGAATGAGCAAAGTGGAGGGTTCTTCACTTGTCTGTAGTGCTTGAAAATGAAAGAAAAGTGGATTGGCATGATTCTAATTTTGTGATTCCCAGTGGAAATGAGACAATGTGGTATTTTTTGCTGGACAAGTTTTATTGAAATGTTTAGGTGCTTGCTGGCCAAGTTTTATTTGTTAGGTTTATGCTAGGTGGGGATTAGATTGTCATTATGTAAAAAGGTTGGAGTTTCTTAATGTCCCAAATGGTCCTAAACTATAAGCAAGTTGCTTTAATGATCCCATAATATTTGTTTTCTTCTTAATAGTTCCTACTGTGTAGCTATAAAAAGATTTGGTTAAATTTTTAATATAACGCTAGCAATATGAAATGATTCGTATAACTAATTCCAACTTATTTACAATTGAGACGAAATAGTTACTATTGTTTATGACTTTATGTGACATATCAATTATAATATTAAGGGTTAAAAATGGGAAATAAATAATTTTATTTCAAAAACAACTTAATTACATCAACATAATCACCTAGCTCTCAAGAAGTTACAATTGAACCATATTGACAAGAGTTGGAATTTCTGGGAAGTTTACCAAATATCATGGGCGGAAAATATTTACCCGTCCCTACTCATTACCTTTTCCTCTTACTCATTTTTTTTAATCTCCACCAAATGAAGCCAATTCAGGCTACTATAAACCAAGCCAAAACAAGCAAAGCTAAACCAAATCAAGCGAAGCCAATTCTAACCAAGTAAAACAAAGCCAAGTCAAAAGGGTAAAAAAAGTTGGGATGGGTGTGGGTACCAGGGGTTATTAGTTTTAATTGGGTAGGTATATATTGTAAATAGTTTTCAATTGGCTAGGAAGGAGTAATTAGTTTAAGCTCAATGAGTATTTTGCATGTGGTCATGTTGCGTCTTCCTTATTTTTTTATTAATTATTGTTTTTAAAAAAACATAGCCATCTCTCCCATTTCTAGTCTCTATTGTTGCTTTAACGGGTAAATTATTTCTTTTTTTTCCCATTTGTGGGAATATATTGGATTGTTGTTGTTAAATAAGATTTCAAATATTTTCTAATATTATAGTTTTATTTGATTAGTAGTGATTTTGATGATCTTTTTGATTTTGTTTATAATATACAAAAATCACATATGAGATTTGGCAATAACCCATGCATTTCTATATAATAATCCAAAAGAATACATGTAAACCTTAGCCTTTTGACCAAAAAATATAGATATTTGGTTAAACTAATTAAATGTATATAATGAGGGGTTAAACTTAGTTAATAATAATAACTTCAGATCTAATATAAAACAATAAATGTCACCAGAGTAAATAAAGAGAAAGTTTAAGACAATATTTAATGAGGTAGATGATTCCTCCTTCTGACTAGGAGTGTGCATTCGAATCGGTTTATCGATAAATCGAATCGATTATTTGTTATCGGTTTATCGATTTCGATTTCGATTTTGAAATTTTCCTTATCGAGTTATCGATTTTGATTTCGATTTTGTCCTCTTCGGTTATCGGTTTATCGATAAACCGATAAGATATACTAAAAAGACAAATATACCCTTATTCGATAATACCATTTCCTTTACCCTAAGTTCCTAACCCTAAAATTGGAGCAGAATCTTGCTGCAAAAATGGCTGGTCTCTCCACAGTGGCAGCCACTTCAAATGGCATCAACCAGCTCAATTACAGAGTAGGACCCAATTCGTCTCTCTGTACAACAAACCCACAAAATTTTCATAGTCAATGGCTTGGTACTCCAATCAAAATCTCTCTTCAGTCCAACAATTTCAACCATTTCTTACAAAACATTGCCCCAATAAAGCCACCATCTCCTTTAGCCTTCCTTATGGAAAGTCAGAGGCTACAGTATCTATAGAGAAAATTCCTAAATGGTCGTCAAAGGCGATAAAATAATTTGCCATGGGTGAATTGGAAGCAAGAAAACTTAAATATCCCACTACTGGAACAGAAGCTCTTCTCATGAGAATCCTGATTGAAGGGACAAATTTTGCTTCAAAATATTTGAGGGCGAACAACATTACTCGTGAAGAAACTATCAAAGTACTTGGAAAAGCTGACATGTGGTTTTTCAGTCCCGAACATCCTCCTTTAACTGAAGGTGCACAAAAGGATCTTGATTGGGCACTTGATGAAAAACTCAAATCCAGTGACAATGGGGAGATTACAACTACTCATTTGCTCCTTGGAGTGTGGTCACAAGTAGGATCACCAGGTTATAAGATATTGTCAGCTTTGGGCTTCAACGATGAGAAAGCTCAAGAGTTGAAGAATGTAATTTCTGAACCTGGTTTTGTGGATGATTAAGATGAAGATTTTTGTGTTGATGTATTCCTTTAACCTGAACTGAGTTTCCAAATTTGCAATCAGATTAGTCGTTTTGACGTGGAAAAAAAAGTTCCTAACCCTATTATTTCCTCTACCCATTCGATTTTGCATGTGCTTGTTGACACAATTTTTATGTTATAAACGGTGTTCGTCTTATTTTAGCTTCTTTTGTCCATATTAGTTAGGCGTGTTTATAGCGATATACTTTCCGTGGCATCCCGCAAATTTTCTTATTGGTGTAATCGATAACCGAATCGATAAGCCCAAAAAATCGTTAAATCGAAATCGAAAAAATCGAAACCTTATTGAAACGATAACGATTAGCATATGTACAAATCGATAATCGATAAGTAATTATCGATAAGGGTCAAAATCGAATCGATAAATCGAATGCACACCCCTACTTCTGACAATGATAAATGATAGATGAAGATCAGAATATTGTGACCCTTCTCCGATCTGGTGGAAAAGGTATGGAATAATAGAAGATCAAATCTATTTAGAAAGGTAATGTTTGTATTCTATTTAGAGAGAAAGTCTACTTTTCATGGACTGTCCTCATCAGAGAATATTACATGCATGTCACCTGATAATTATTTTTATTTATAAGGGACATACCCCCAATTAACCCTAATAGTACAAACACTGGAAATATTTAATAGAATATTCCCTTAAAAATCATGTTACTAAAATAGCCGTTACTGCTCCTTCTGACACTTGACCTCGGCCATGATCGACTGCTCGACGGTGAGTTCCATTGGTTACTAATCGACCTCGGCCAAATTACTTTCAGTAATACCACTTCGTGTCGAATATTCTTAGGCAGATTTTGACCCATATAGTTAGTCCCTCTGCTTATCGAGGCCGTCTCTCAGACGACCTCGATGAGCGAACTTCGCTAGTCGTAGTTGAGAGATTTAGGTGGGCAGGTCGAGTAATGACGCTCATGGCGAGGTGGTAACGTGGTGCTTCGTGAGCTATAACTTACCGTTACGTCGGTTCAGAATGACGTCATGACATCATGCGTCATTATTACACATTTTCCCGATGTATTGTGTCACTTCCCGTGTCTCTGCTGTTTCGATATTTGTTCTAGGCATCGACGATTGGTATTCTCGATTATGGTGCATGGGTTTTTATAAATAGGGATAGAAGACCCTCTACCTGATCCTTTGTGTTTTCAAGTATTGAGTCTCTATCTCTTTCTTTCTTCTTCCTCCAGTGTTCTTGCCATTGTTACTTTCACCTTTGCATCCCTGTTTTCCCCGATTTTAACAACTTCTGCTACTAATACCTCCTTCGTGCTTGCATTTTCTACATATATAAACAACCAAAGATGGTTAATACATCTTCTAACTCTGGGGGGACATCTGACCCGGTTCCATTGGCAGTGAGCATACCCCTCATGATGATGGGGCTGCCATTGTTACAGAAGATGAGAGCTTCCCTACGGTGGAGGAAATAATTCCTCGTAGGGAGAAAGCTAGGTCTGATTTCTCGAAGTTGCCAGAGGACGACCTCGAAATCTCGGAGTCGTTGATGAAAGAGGCTGCTCTGACCGAGTTTAGGGCCAGATTCAAAATTCCCGCCCATATAGACCTGGTCCCCGCACGGCACGATGTGAAGCAACTACACCACCCTGGGTATTGCGCCTTCTACGCATACCCCTTCTATGTGGGTTATTCTTTCCCCAGCCTTCGGCTTTAGGTAGACCATCTCGACCAACAAAGGCCTCAACATCTGAGAATTTGCCCCTTCCTGTGCTTCATTTAGTAGACGAGTCATCACAAAGCGAGGAGGACTTGGTTCCGCGTAAGAGGAGGTCGATTGATGTTGACGATGAGACAGTTAGAGCGCTGGACTCTACAAGGGGCGACTGTGAGCCGACCATTGCTGCGCTAGAGAGTGACGCAAATCCATTATTCGGAGCTCCGCTGTCTACGAGGGTCGTGGATGATGCTTCTTTACCCGAGGTTGCGGTTGAAGTTGGAAGGCCGTCTGAGGCTGCTAACGTCGTACCAAGAAACGAGCCGTCATTTTTGGGACCGGTTGACGTTCCATCATCAGTTGAGGAGAGAGGAAAAGGCATTGCCGAGGACGGTTATGAAATCGGCTCTGACATTGATCCCGAGGAGGTACGGATGTTGAGTGAAGGATTTATTCGGGTGGAAGTGAGGTTAGAGGGGTCTACTCGTACCATCGTAGTCCTCATGGACCGTGACCTGTTGGTGAACACGGAGGACGTGGTTCCCTCCTTGGGTCCCCTTTGTTCCGACGCGGAGGGCAGGACCCTAGAGACGTTGAATGATGCCGCCCATCGTCGGGCATAGCCGGCCTCACCCTCAGGGTAAGTTTTCCGATCCTCCTAGTTTCTATGCCTTGCACCTTTTTGTTTTTTTCTTAGACTGACTTTCTTCCTCTTTTGCTCTTTTTCTAGACCATTATATTTGAGATTGAGAGTGCTCGCCGAGAAGAGAGGCGTAAAACCATTTTTAAGAAGATGGAGAGGAAGTACCGTGAATACCGCATCAAGCATTTTTAGATTTGCAGGCGATTTGGCGAGAGTGGTAATTTCCAAGCTATCAGGGATGAGCTGAAGCAGAAAGATGATGAGCTTATGAGAGTCATCAGTAAATGTAGTGTCCTCGAGGGGGCTCTTAGAGAAAAATAAGAGGAGCTCGAGGTGAGCAGGGGGTGGAGGCCCAGTGCGCGGACCTTCAAGATCAAGTTCTCTCTCTGCAGACCAAGCTCGAACAAAGTTTGGTCAGGGCTTATGTTTTG